TCAATGACACATTTTCAACATTGGTTACCTGGCTAGAATTGAATGATTGTTTGATGGTTGATCCACCGTCAGTTGTCGACCTCAACCAAAAATCAACCATTCTGACTATAATTCAACGTTGAAATACCATCGTGTGCTATCTGGGCAGTTAAAGGATTTTCAAAATAAAAGATCCTCCAGACTCAGATAATACATAAACGGAAATATTTATTTCTTGTGTGGCCCGGTACCCCATATGATTCTTTTGCTCAAGATTTTTAACATGCAGTCATGATCAAGTGGTATAGAGAATTGGCGCATATTTTAAAAAGCAGCCAAAGTCTAAAGAAAAGCTTTCAGAAATCAAAGATGTATTTAAAAGGTTATGAGGACGTATAAAGTTGTGTGGTGTAAAGCTTACCTCCACGATGGTACGGATCAGAATACTCATTATGTATGTCTTCAGCAGCGCCCCCCTCAGCCGAACTCGACCTGCAGACGAACCTTCATCTTTTTCCTTTCCTTCATCCTTCTCAGCACTCCTTCCCTGCTTGTTTCTACCTCCTCCTCCTTTTTCACCTCCTCCTTGGTCTTCCTCTTTCCCTCCTCCACCCGCATCCTCCTCCTCCTCGCTACTCTTTCTCTTCTCCTCCCTGCGAACCGTGTGCATGGCGTGGCCCATGTAGATTAGACTCGGAGTCGACACAAATACAATTTGCAGCACCTGAAAAGACAACAGCGATGAATGCCAAAGCACGAGAGTATTTCTGCATAGTTTTGCATTTGTCATACACACAGACACATATTTGTACTTGTAACATCACAAAATGTGAAAATATCTTTAAAGTCCATGCTTTTTAACACACTGTGAATTTATGGCATCAAACTAGCCTGACCATTACCTTCTTATGCAATCCTGCACGATTCAAATCTGACTTGCAGCACAAATCTGGGATTTCTCACATGGAGTTTGTTTTCTCTGTAAGAAGAAAACAAACTCCATGGCCAATCAGCCAACAGAAAGAGTAGTGAATGGTGATGTCTGCCTGTAGTTTAGTTATGGCAGCTGAGGAATTAAAACGTTCAGTCCATGTTGGTCACCTTCCAAATATTGAATTAACATAAACAGCTTCTTCGTTCGACTCGGCTCTTCTCTCTTTGTAGTGGAGGATGGCACAGGCGATTTCCTGTAAGCTTCATAGAGTCAAACTGGCGCGTTACAAATCACAGGCAAACTTCATTGATTGGGAAAAATCGATAGGCAAAACTTAAGAGGCAATACCTCCAGGAAACAATCATTTCTCAATAGCCGAGGGTCCAGACCCTTTGAACGGATAATTACATTTATTCGTCTTAGATTTCAAATCAGCTTCTGAACGTGGGTCAGGATGTGTAAGAGTCCTAATATTAATTCATGTATAACAGCAAATTTTGATCCATTGTGTTCAGGTTATTACCCAGTATCGTATGTGTGCTATAGGAAATGCTCGGTCATAACAGACGTTCTCGCAGCCCGGCTGCACCGAGTCACAGTTGAAGTCTTCCTGCTCATCGCCCCATGATGACTCGGCTGCCGTCCCGAGCACCAGGATACGGAAGATAAACAGGATGGTCAGCCACACCTGAGGAGTGAGAATCAACAAACAGAATCCATATGAAAACGCTTGGAAGCCAAAACAACAGGTAGAAATGTTAATTACTATCTTTGTCGGTAGTATGTGAAGTGTTGTAGCTGAAGGATGTGGCACAGTAAATCAACAGTAATTTTAGCCAAGTTGCAACAAAAAATGATTTTTTTTCATTAGCACACACAGGCTAGCAAGAATGTTGTTAGATGTGAGAAAAGAAATTTAAGTAGCATCATCTTCCTTTTTACAGGTGAACTAGTGTTAATATTGTAGAGGTTTAAAACTTCTATCAGCCGCAAAGTACTGAAACAATTTAACGTTTATTGATTTATGCTACTGATGTGATACTTCAGCATAGTCAAATTCTTGATCATCTTGGACTTGGACTATGAGTTTTCAAATTTTCTCAAGAGTATACCAACAAAATCACAGCTGCAAGTTTTGTTTCCTCTTCAATTTAGAATGAAACTTGTATTCAAGTGCAACCAATAAAGTCATTTTGCTTTGAAGAATTTAATGCTGCCACCTGTGCCCCGAGGGAAAAAAACAAGAGGAAGACAAATATTCCAGTGCATATATTTGTTTTTCGGTTCATACTACAGTGTGTTTCCACAGAAAGAACTCTCATTCTAGAACAGGTTCAGTACCTGTGCCTTAGAACAGTGGTCCCCAACCTTTTTATTACTGCGGACCGGTCAAGACTTGGAAATTTTGCTGCGGCC